CAGTTAGATTCTACAATGTTGTTTTTTTCCTTGCTTGTAACTTATAAAAGATGTGCCTGCTTTTTAGCATGTTTCATTATGTTCTTTTAAAATAAATTTTAAAAAGGAAACCTTTCTGTTTCTGTGTGCCTTTCCGGGGGAAAAGCTAATTCCAAGCCTTACACTCTGGTCGTGCTCTACCGTAGAATTTCTGTCTGCAAGTCTGTGGATACAACTTGTGGAGTGAGGGTAACCAGCAATAACGGGGCACAGCCTTCTCCCTGGGTTGTGGCTCTGGGTTCCCCGGGACAAAGGGAGTGGTGGCAGCCTTACCGGTTCTGTTTTGTCCTGTTTCTGTAAAACGTAAACGTGTCTGCCAGCCCTGCTCAAGAAACCTGGTCTGGCCAGAGAGCAAAGACAGGTGAGGGAGGGGCAAGTGGCTGGGGGCAGTTTACTACATGCAGTATTTAACCGTTCAGACCACAAACCAGAAAGACCCTTGGCAACCAGAAGAGGGTGTGAAATATGCTGACTGACTCCAGCTACAAAAGCTGAGGCTGCTGAAAAGGCCAGAGCCAATCTTGGCTGTAAGTCCTGGCAGGCCTTTCCCCACTAGTCCTGGAGGGAGGGGCCCTGACTGACTCCAGCTACAAAAGCTGAGGTGGCTGAATAGACTCTTGGGCTGGGGTATTGCTGGTGGGGGAGGGTTGCTGCTGTTATAAAAAATAAAATAAAAATTCCAAAAAGTAGTATCAATATCTTATTATTGTTTATGTGGAATTTGTTCAGTTTGATTGTGTACTTTTGATGCTTTATTTATTGTTTATGATTGCTTTCATTATGTTTGTAATTTTGTGTTTTTTCATGTTGTAAGCAGTCTTGAGCATGATTTTGGCTATGAAGAGGCAGCATTCAAATAAAACTATATATATATTTGCTCTCTCTCAGAACCTCTCTTTTGCACATCTTATGAAACCCATGTAACTAGCTAAGCTAGATCGACTTTTTGATTTTAAGCCTGCATGTGTGATTTTGTACCTTCCCTTTTCTTCTCCCTCCCCTTACCCCAAACAAGCATCTCCTTTATACTTGGGCATTTGGTTTCATTGCCTTAAAAGGGAAGCTATCACAAAAGGCTGCACAGTTGTTAGAGCTACCCCTTTGTGTTCTGAGGATATTTCACAAGATTTTGTTACGATCTCTTTCTACTGATTTTTGGAAAATAAAATCCAAAGCTCATCTCTTTGGTTTTTTGCTAGAACTGGGTTGAAGGGAGGTGTTCTTATAATAAAGCTGAGAAACTCCTCAAGCTGTGGGATAGACTATGTAGGGAGGGGAAACTTCCAGCTCACCGGCTATTTTTAGGCCTGCCAGGGTGTCCAGTTTGGCCTGCAAACCTTATCCACTCACTGGTGATGTCAGCTTATGGGCATGGACTCATTACACCCTGTTTCAAGCAGAAGGGTTATCTTGATTGGCTGAGATGCATGAGAAAGTTGTCTGCAAAGAGCTGTCTTGCACACCCTGAACCTTCTCAGTTTCAAAAGGGAGGGAGGGGAAACATCCCTTTAGCAGTGCTTTGCTGCCTGCTACCAGTTTTGAAGTCCCAACTTTGGGACTTCAAAGTACCAACCCCCCCAATATCATTTGTGACATCAATTGATTGACAGGGTGGGTGGACCTGCCCACCTGTCAAATATGGCCTATGTGATAGATCCTTATGAGGATCTAGCTCATGAAGCTGAAAAGTTCCCCCACCCCTGGTATGGGGTGTATTAAGATGTGCTTCCTGACTAGGGGCAGCCTATGGTAAGTCTTTTTTGGGGGGAACCCCTTATACAAAACACACCTTCCAACAGGAAAAGACTCCTTCATTCTTGGTCCCACATGCACTCCACCAATCTGCTTGATCGTATGCTCCAGCTTACAAAAAGGAGTGCCAATTGACCAGAAGAAAAAGGCCTACCCTCTTTTCATGCTTTTGAAGGTGCATAAATCAGCAAGCAAGGTATTTCTTCATGGCATATAAATAAACATCAGTCTCCAACAAAACGCTATTCATTTTTTGAATTTATAGTCCACCTCCCTCCAAGGAATTCAATGTTATCTACATGGTTCTCCAACCAGCCCTTAACCTCAGAACACCTTTCTCATCCAGTGAAATTCATGGTGAAATGTGAACATGGGTCTTACCAGTGCAAGTGTCTCACTCTAAACCAGCCTTCTGCAACTTGGTGCCTTTCATATTTTTGGTCTACAAATCCAATCAGCCTCAACCAGTATGGCCAATGGCCACAGATGATGGGAGTTGCATTCAAAAACAAATGGGGAACACCAAGTTGGAGAAGGCTGCTCTAACCACTACACCACACTAATTCACCAGCTAGACATGAACTGATGGAGTCTCACATGGTCTCTAGCTATTTAGAAACTCAGAAGAACCAGGATTCTTCTAATCAACCAGTCTTTATTACCTTAACCCTAAACATAGTGGGTCAACCAAAGTTCAATCATTGACTGTGCTAACCATGTAACCATGCTCAACCAAAGTCATTATCGCCGAATGGCCACAACCAGCTCAGTTTTTCTGCCTTCACCCACCTACATGGAGAACCTCCAAGATTCCCACAACTCTCTACTCATACAGGAACCCAATAGTAAAGGCTTCCAGCCCCATCATTTGCCAGCGCCCACCAACAGTTCAGATGGCTACAGAGATGTCGTGACCACGTTTGAAGCATACTGTGAAGCTCTGTGAGCTGCTGAGACTTGCTTACCTGCACAAGTTTCTCCATCGTAGGTTTCACACACCCACTCATGACATTCGCAGAGGGGCCCATAGTATTTGCCTGGCTCGGTCACTTGGCAGATGCAGACCCCACAGTCACACTGGCCTCTGCCACTGCAGAGTTTTCCACCAGGGATTCGACACCTGCGCTCTGACTCGGTCAGGGACAGTCGGCAAGGTGAGGTCCTTCCCCAACCATTCCTGCAGGGAATTAAGAAGACAACCAGTTGTAAAAAAAGGGGGGGGAGAATCACACAAATGATGTAGAAACTTGTGCTGCTGGGTTGTACTCATTCGGCAATCAGCCCACAGATTATTTTGGAATTAAACTTGGTGGGGAACCAATTTCTGGGTTTTAAAAAAACATTTATTTTGGGTTCTAAATAATAATGGGACTAAGTGGCTAGATATTAAAATCTGTTAATCCACACACTAACATTGACGTGTGGCTCGAAAATTCACACCAGTGTGGTAGATGTGCACTTTTTCTTGAAACAGAACCCAGTGCTATTTCAGCAATGCTTGCATTCAGGAACAACTTTGTTTCTGCATTTCGAATGAAGAAGAAAAACACTTTGCTAGACAGAATTTATTTATTGCATGTGCATGCTGGCCTTGCTCTAGGCACTTGGGAAAGGTTATCCTTAATCTGACCATGTAACAAACCTCTAAAGGTAAAGGGACCCCTGACCATTAGGTCCAGTTGTGGCTGACTGTGGGGTTGCGGCGCTCATCTCGCTTTATGGCTGAGGGAGCTGGTGTACAGCTTCCGGGTCTTGTGGCCAACATGACTAAGCCGCTTCTGGCGAACCAGAGCAGCGCACGGAAACGCCGTTTACCTTCCTGCTGGAGCGGTACCTATTTATCTAATTGCACTTTGACGTGCTTTTGAACTGCTAGGTTGGCAGGAGCTGAGACCGAGCAACGGGAGCTCACCCCGTCGTGGGGATTCGAACCGCCGACCTTCTGATCGGCAAGTCGTAGGCTCTGTGGTTTAACCCACAGCACAACCCACGTCCCAACAATCCTCTAAGGAAGCATAAACTGAGACTGTCCCAAGATTACCCAAAGCGAGCATCATAACCGAGTGGGGATTCATCCACAATCTTATTTTATAGTTGCCCGACAGGTTCACACTCCCAAAGCCCTCCATGCAAAGGTAACACTGGCTACATGAAGAAAAGCTAGTGTGAATTAAGCTATTTGGGGGGAGTCAGCTTCTTTCTCGGTAATCCTGGAATACAGCAACAACAAGGAAATGGGTGCCGCCTTCCTGTGAGAGCAGCTTTGTTCATGCCCCTACTCTCTCCTCCGGCATTTGTGTGCAAAATTGCACAGAAGGGTTGGGCAGCGTGAACTGTCCCTTGGGCAAATCACTAGCAGCCACACACAACCTGCACTTGAATTACTCTGTTTTCCCGCTCCAACCACAAATAGGAATAACAGTACCTTTCCTCTTGGGGGTGCTGTGAAGATGCAAAGAAGAGTTGGAAAGGCTGGTACTTGCACTGACTCATAGGAATGTGGTCTATATAACTGAATACCGAAGTAAACCTGAGAACCTAGCAAATACTTTCGTGCAGGTTGCCCCGCAAGGTGTCCTGTGTCATCTCTATTTTTGACAGTACATTAATGTTCTGGATGGGAAGATGGTTTATTCCCCCCCCCCCCCCCGAAAAAGGTACTGAATCATATTGAGGAGCTTATTATTTTAATTCATCCATTCCCTCCCCATCTTTGCCAACCTTCCCAATCAGAATGCCCCCAAATTATTGCTGCTGGGATTCCACCCAACGGGTGACATGACCCATATATATGCCCCATCAGAATGTTAGTATTTACTTTATTCGTTTGAAAAAATGTTAAAGCCACATTTCAGGCAGTTTACATAAAACTATAAAACTGTTTCAGTAATGTAACATGGCACACATTTCTTTCCTTGTTAGTTTCCTCTTAAACCTCCAAATACCAAATTGCATAGAATGACCAACACCTTGCAACCAGCCTAATACCAAATCTTTACTTGTTCCATTTTAAAGCAATAGCTCAACAGTATTTTATTTACTCAAGAAGGAAAGAAGAGCATCCAAATGAGACTCCTGGATTATTATTTTTTAAAGAAGTATGGCGTTAAATATTTTATTTATTATGGCAAAGCATAGAATCATAGAATTGTAGAGTTGGAAGGGATCCCAAGGGTCATCTAGTCCAACCCCCTGTGATGCAGGAATCCTTTGCCCAAGGTAAGGCTCAAACCCACAACCCTGAGATTAAGAGTCTCATGCTCTACCAACTAAGCTATCTGGAATGAAGTCCAAAGTGGAATGAAGCAGGGCTCAAATACAAGCTGACAAATTGCAAATCCCAGGCAATGGAATTTGCAAGACTTTATACCCCTATTTCTATGCATCTTAATCTGAATTTATAGCCACTGTGGGAATTTATAGCCATTGTGCCTTTTCTCCTCCTTACTAGTTTTCCTAGGATACGAGCAAAATTAGTCCAGGATGCTAGATCTAGATTCCCGCAAAGCTGTTTTTACCAGGACCACGAATAGGGGTGATACTGGCGTGCTACAAATGAACAGAGTTTTACCAGCAAATATATGAAGCCCCCAAAAAAACAAAGTCAGTAAATAGCAGGAAACTCTAACGTGTGCTCATCGGGATAATCTCAAAAGAGACAACACATTTTTGTCCAACCCATCTGATCTGGGATATCTTATGTATCATGCAATTGTGAAGTTCAAATGTGGATGTCAAAACGCAAATTACAGCTACAGCTCTGCTTCTGCACTCAGATATGCTGTTGATCTTTTGCTCAAATTTTACAAAGAGTCGAGCAGCAGGTTGGAGGGGGGGAAGGGAGAGAAATACCTCTTTAAGGCTTCTTCCTTGCAACTTGTTGCCTGGCCCCTAAAAGCTAATTGCTGGAAAAACAACAACAACAGAGCTTAAAATCCGAGCTTACCGCAGGGACAAGGAGAAACTTTGCGAAATAACAGGCAGCAGGACGAAGAGTGAAGACATGAATAGAAACGACACCAAGCTGAGAAGCCCCTGAGTATGCATTCTTAGATCCCAGGGAAGCAGTAAATGAAGAGTTCTCCAGCGGAGTCCGAAACACGAACAGACCCAGAAGGTTTGCAGAGTTCCGAGCTGGCCAGAACTGGCTCCTTCCTCCTGTGCTCCACCAAGTGCCTTTGATTAGCTGCCTGGAAGCTGGATTTGGGCAGCATTCTGGAAGGAAAGGCCAGTGCCAAACCCCAAAGTTTACAGTCTAAGCAGGGAAGTAATTAGAAACAGTTGTACGGCCAGATGGTTTATTTTGACATAATAAAGTATCCTGTTCACAGTTTCGAGCAAACGGTCTTGTTCTCGAAAGAGAGGCACCCTAAGTATTTGGGGGAAAAGTAAGCTTGAGTGAGCTATGATTAATGGAAGTTTTTGAGATAATCACACCAAAAGTAACTGGGGAGAAATGTGTGCTTGTCAGGCTTGGCAGAAAACGCTCACATTATTTTCCGACTGTATCCAAGAGTGTAATGTTAGAGTTCAGGTGAATGCTTTAAATTCTTCAGGCTGGCTAGAATGAAACAGGTCTGTTCCCTTCCCCCCTTCCTTATTAATGTGCAAAAACTATGTTATAAGCAGAGCAGGAAGACTGTCAAGGTCATCAAACTGACAGCAACTCCACTGTCAAAACATTCATCCATCCACTCAAGGTTAAGGGAGTTCGGTAGGTTTTTCACATTATGCAGCAACAAACCCACTTGACTGGGAACTTTAGGCAGTGATGTTTCTAGGTATGGTGTGCTGATTTGCAAACGTGTGTTTGTTGCGTTCATGTTTTACATTTTTTCCAAGGAAGGGGCTGAGCTGTAAAACAAAACAAAACAAATTTGAAGCGGAATGTGATCCAGATTGTGCATTTGCTGGTGTGGGAATGACTGTGAAACACTGAGGTCACTGTCAGATCAGGCAAGGCCAACAGCAAGTCAGAGGTGAGGAGCAAACTAGATCATATGCCAAATACAGGTCTTGCCAAACTATCATTTGAGCAGGCAAACCATGCTTTAGAGTTGCCTATCTGCTCTAATTATCCATCCTCTCACTATTCATTTTCATTAGTTCGATTAAATTTCCACAGGGCAGCAGTCTCTCCAGGCAGAAAAATAGCTTCAACTTTGGCCTGTCAAGTCAGATATCACATTGAAACCATCATTTATTGAAGGAGGTTTACAACAGCACTATGGTTAACTTAAACAATGGTTTGCAAACCTACCTCAAAGTTTTGTTTTTAACGTATGATCACAAACTATGGTCTGCCAATTTAGACACCACACCAAAACATTATTAAAGTTCCTCATTAATCATACTTTGTAATGGTATCTGAATAAAGCCTAGCTCAGTTTGGACTTTGCAGCCTCAGATGCCAGCATTAGATAATCAAAATCTATTAATGCGACACCAAAACTGCATTGCCTTGAAGTATTAAGCAGTCTTTTAAAAATGTACCAGTCATTAAACAACAGCTGTCCATTACTAATATTATATGCCGGGTGAGAAAACATTACAGATGTTAGTCTTGGATCTGTTCCTCAGAGAACTGTAACACTTTCAGTATGTTTAAAAATAACTATATGCTGGATAGCAAACTTGGTGAACTCAGAGGGACAGCCTTTATAACCAGGATTATTGTTGTTGTTTAAAAAGTCCTGATCACTACCAATGGCCATATTAGAACTCTTGTTAATAAGAACATGAGAAGAGCTTGCTGGATCAGGCCAGTAGCCCTTGTAGTTCAGCATCCTGTTCTTACAGTGGCCAACCAGATGCCTATGGAAAACTCACAAGCAGAATTCAAGCACTAGAGCACTCTCCCCTCTGGTGGTTTCCAGAAACTGGTGAAACTGGTACTGCAGGAAGAGAGCCAGTATGGCGGTTAAGAGTGGTGGACTCGTAATCTGGGGAACCGGGTTGGCGTCTCTGCTCCTCCACATGCAGCTGCTGAGTGACCTTGGGCCAGTCACACTTCTCTGAAGTCTCTCAGCCCCACTCACCTCACAGAGTGTTTGTTGTGGGGGAGGGAGGGAAAGGAGAATGTTAGCCGCTTTGAGACTCCCTCAGGTAGTGATAAAGCGGGATTTCAAATCCAAACTCTTCTTCTTCTACTACTTTAGCTTTTCCTGAACATTTGGCTTCATTGCATGTCAAGTTTTGGTGTTAGGAGAGAGTGAGGTAAGGGATTATTTACAAGCCTCCCCAAACAGCCAAAACAAAGAGGGGTACATGCAAAATCATTTTCTTCCACGCAATGGCTCCACCCCCATCGTTCAGCCCGAAAACTGAGGTCTAGCTCCGAGGGCCTTCTGGCAGTTCCCTCACTGCGATAAGTGAGGTTACAGGGAACCAGGAAAAGGGCCTTCTTGGTAGTGGCGCCCACCTTGTGGAACTCCCTCCCATCAGATGTCAAGGAAATAAACAACTATCTGACTTTTAGAAGACATCTGAAGACAACCCTGTTTAAGGAAGTTTTTAATGTTTGATATTTTACTGTGTTTTAAATATTCTGTTGGGAGCCACCCAGAGTGGCTGGGGAAACCCAGCCAAATGGGTGGGGTATAAATAAACAATGATAATTATTATTATTATAAAAAGTTTATTGCACTCATATCTTTGGGGAAGGACTGCAGCTCAGTGGTAGAGCATCTGCTATGAATGCAGGTCCCAGATTCAATCTCTAGGATCTTCGGGTGGAGCTTGGAAATATTCCTTGATTGAAACTCTGGAGAACCACTGCCAGTCAGAGGAGACAAGACTGATCTAGAATGGATCAGTGTTCTGACTCAGTATAAGACAGCTTCCTATGTTCCTATCTTATGAAGGGTTTGAAATATACTCAGAGTTGAGAGTGGATTTCATGCTCTTTATTCAGCTCATAGTGGTGAGGAGGAATGAATGTCCCCTCAAAGTATCTGCTTTATATACATTATTTACACAATGGGCTGTACGTGATTGGCTAATTCCGGAATTCTCCTGTAGGCCAATCAGGTTGTGGATTCACTTCTATCTGGAGCTGGATTGGGTGGCTCCTGCCGACCAATCATACTGCTGCATTGTTCTAGGACCAATCAGACTGCTGCATTCTGAATCCTATTGTTCTAGGACCAATCAGACTGCTGCATTTTGGATCCTATTCAACTCAGTACATAACAGGGTTCAACTGGCATTCAGATTGTGGATAGACACAAGATAGGAGAGAATCATTGGGAATTGTCCCTTAGGATGCACTAACCCAACAAACCTTTCAGACCTAAGCAACTCATGTGATGAAAAAAATTAAGTGCTGAGCCAGCTTAGCCAGTTACTTTGGAATAATCTTTGCAGATTCACCAATTGCCTAATGTCAGTTTGATAGCCCACAGGGGCTGTCTGGCTTTCTTTAAAATAAAATAAAATAAAATAAAATAAAATAAGAGCTGTGCATACTGAATTTAGTCCCAGAAGCAGTAAAGGATGCCCTAAACTCTATGTTTTGTTTACAGCGATTTTGCAGTTTCAGAAGGGCAAGGTTTCAGAAAGCCTTCCATTTTAATACACTTGAAGTTTTGTTACTGGGTCTCTTTGCATTACATGGTTTGTTTGATGATCTGAAAGAAACTTTACAGATCTAGGGCATGATCCAGTCAAAGCGAAACCCTCTTCAATCCTACTGATGTAAATGACAGATGCTTGCGCACTTTGATCCGAAAGCAAGACCAGATGCAAATGAATACATATTGTCACCTGCTTTGAATTGTAATGGTCACTGAGTTCCCAGTGTAAGGGGGAGATATATATATATATATATAGCAAAATGAATACAGCTCTTGTCAAGTGCAAGTGCAAATATACCTCTTTGCGATGATAAATTACATTAGCTGATGTAATATTGTGTAAATTAACACTTTTCGTCACTATGACTATTATTATTCCTCCTCCTTGAAGCCAGTGTCACTTCAGCTGTGGCCTTGCACAAACTCGCATTGACTGGTATAGAATTAAGATTTTGCTGTTGAGTTTCACTATCCAGCTGTCAGTTCTCATAAGGAGATGGTCTTGCCGACAGCATAATTCTGCCTAGTAGCAACATATTCCTAGGAATAAAATATAATGGAGAAGGATGAACTGCACTGCAAGAAAAAAATGTATCCAGCTGCTTGTCAGTAAATATATTTTTTCTGCCAATATTTTTGGAGGCATTAATAGGTTACTTAATGTCATGGTCTTCCTAAGACCTTCAAACTTCAGCCTAATCGGTAAACTGGTTAGGAGCACAATATCTAACAGCCAAGGAAAGACAAGCCCTGCTGCCATCAGGCAAGAGATTAATCTTGTCCAGCATCGTGGCCAACCAAACACAACAACAACAACATTTATACCCCACTCATCTGACTGGGTTGCCCCAGCCACTCTGGGAGGCTTCCAACATATACAAAAACATAGCGAAGCTGCAAAGTGGATATTCAGAGACGTATTGCTTCCAACACTGGAGGTGGTACATAGATGTCATCGCTAGCAGCCCAAAGTGGTGTATGCCCTTTTCTAAGAGTGGAGTTTCCCCAGCCCTTTGTTTGTTTTGGTCGCCATTTTCTGAACTTTTTTCCAGCTCTGCAATGCCCTGGTGAGGTTACCATAACTGCTCAGAGTATTCTAAGTGGTCTAGTTACTTCCTGTTTGGACTACTGCAATGCGCTCTACATGGGGCTACTTTGAAGGTGACCCGGAAACTACAATTAATCCAGAACGAGGCAGGTAGACTGGTGACTGGGAGTGGGTGCTGAGACCACCATGGGGGTCCCACCATGGATTTGTATAAGAGAATTGTTATAATGGGCTCTTTATTTTTAATCCCTTTCCTAGTTAGTCTTAACATTGATCTTGTCTTTCTCACAGCTGAATCGACATCTTCATTGAGCTGCCCACCTTGACCCCAAGGTACGGCTTAGTTTCAGACCCCATAAATGTATAAACTCTGACAACTGGGAAACACCGGCCTGCGAGTACTCCAATTGGAGAATTGCCTCTACCAAAGGCATCATGGACTTTGAAGAACCATGAACTCAGGACGAAAGGGAGAAACAAGCTAAGAAGAAGGCATGTTTGGCAAATCTTCAGCATGATCAACTCCCACCTGGAAATCTATGTCCCCAATGTGGAAGGACATGTGGATCCAGAACTGGCTTCCACAGTCACTTAGGTACACACAGTTAAGAGCATATTCATGGAAGACAATCTTATTTGGCTACAAGTGATCACCGAAGAACATGCATATGGGAAATTACCACACACACACATGTGTATAACTTTATATTTTCCTATGCTGAATCACATTTGCCATTTTAGTGCCTATTCATCCAGTTTGTAGAGCTAAAATGGAATAAGCTTAATTCAGTTTAAGCAAGAATCCGTGTCTGCTTTGTGTCCTTTTGAATTACTATTACTGAGAACATTTAGGTCTGCATGTTGCTTACTTTCCTTGCATGAATACTGCTTTTTGTAGGTTTACAAAAGATTCTTTCTTCTACTCAAATATTGAAGCGACAGAAGCCCTACATACCATGTGTCTGCACACATGGGTACAGTTAAAAAAGAACGTACACCCCATGTATGCTGTCAGGGTGTTTATGTGAAATTTTTCTGTTTCGCTATGTGAACATGCCATGTGTACCTGTGTGACGAAAAACATGCCATAATGAACCCCTGTGAAGAAGAACTAATTTGCTGTGTGCAAACATGCTTTCAGAACTCATTGCAAGGATTGCCATTGCTAGCATATGTCTATGTGGCAAAAATAGAGAAGTGTCTAAAATTCACACAAGCCTTTGTACATTTTCACCATCTAAATCAGGTTCTGTTGAACACAAGGGACATTTTTTTTAACACATCCACTACACAAATGACTTGTATATGGTATGGTTGTTTTGTGGTTTATGCAACTGTATAAACTAAGAATGTTCTATGACCACACTGAAAGGCCAGCTTAAGAATCAATGAAACCCACGTTAGTGAAATGCCATGCATGAAATGACCTTTATGTACCTCCCAGATTTTTGCAGAAGAGAACAGGGACGCACTTATTGTAATTCTCCCCTCCACCACACAATATTACACCTTGCTGAAGGCTTGACTCCACTAGCTACATACTACAGTTGTTTACGATATTGGGGGCATTTGTTTAGAGGGTGAGGAGGCAAATAAGGGGGGGGTTACATAAAATTATGCATGGTGACAAATTGGAGAGGTTCCCCTCCCACACACTTTCTCATAATATGAAAAACCAAGGTCATCCAGTGAAACGGAACAGTAGAAAATTCTGCCCCACTATGTGCTGATAGGGACGCGGGCGGCACTGTGGGTTAAACCACAGAGCCTAGGACTTGGTCGGTGGTTCGAATCCCCGCGACGGGGTGAGCTCTCGTTGCTCGGTCCCTGCTCCTGCCAACCTAGCAGTTTGGAAGCACGTCAAAGTGCAAGTAGATAAATAGGTACCACTCTGGCGGGAAGGTAAATGGCGTTTCCGTGCGCTGCTCTGGTTCGCCAGAAGCGGCTTAGTCATGCTGGCCACATGACCCGGAAGCTGTATGCCGGCTCCCTCAGCCAATAAAGCGAGATGAGTGCCGCAACCCCAGAGTTGGCCACAACTGGACCTAATGGTCGGGGGTCCCTTTACCTTTATGTGCTGATATAGCTCAGTTGGTAGAGCATCAGACTTAATCTCAGGGTTGTGGGTTTGGATTGAGCCCCACGTTGGACAAAAGATTCCTACCATAGCTGTCAACTTTTCCCTTTTCTTGCAAGGGGAAATAATAATAATATTCAGAATAAGGGAATTTCCCTTAAAAAAAGGGAAACGTTGACAGCTATGATTCCTGCATTGCAGGGGGCTGGAGTAGGTGACCCCGGCGGTCCCTTCCATCTCTACAATTCTGTGATTCTAAGAACCTTTGTCTTCCTGCAGCACCTTGCCATCTGCTTTCTCACTTATAATCGGCCTAGCGTTCTGATCAGTTTCCTCTGGCCAGGGGACCAAACTGAAATGGGTTGGCTCTGCCTGTACCCCCTTTCGGCCTCCAAACTTTCCACCCAACCACTTCCACCGGGCGCCAGCCACACGTTGGGCCACCAAGAGAGGGCAAAGCCAGCATAAGCGGCTCCTGTTCCATTTCTTCCTCCTGGCCTGCGACAAAGTTCAGTCGGTAGAGCATGAGACTTCAGGGTCGTGGGAATGGGCATAGCCAGGGGGGGAGCTCTCCTCCCCAATCAAGTAAATGAATAAAAACGGTAGAAATAATCAGAATATTTTAATTGAAATGCTCACTAAGGTCACTTGGATGATGTTGTGGCACATTCTAGCAACACAAGTGGCAACCCTACGGAGGCAGGCAGGCATGGGTTCTGCAAACTGACCCATTGCTTGCAGGTAGCTTGGTTCTGGACATAGGAGCCAACTCCTAGAGGCTCTGTCTCTCTCCCCCCCCCCCCCAAGTTGATGGGCATTGCCATTCAAATGGTGTGCATGTCCCAAAATCATGTGATTGATTATGCAGGGTGAGGCTGACCTGGGACCCCCCAATATTTTATTCAAGTTGGCACCACTGGTTCTGCAACAGGACAGGTGGGTGCCCTGCTGCCCCCAACACCTATGGTCGTGGGTTCGAGTCCCACACTGGGTTGGACTAAGTGACCCTCCTGGTCCTTTCCAACTCTACAATTCCTCCTCCTTGCGTGGTGCTGCTGGACCTTCTTTCTCTGGTGGAAAGGAGGAACTGGGGCCATTGCGCGCCCCCACCCCACTCTCCCTGCCATCCAAAGCGCGGTGGGGTGGGGGCGCGTGACGCAGCGAGGAGGAGGAGGATTGGTCTCAACAGGAGGGGAAGGCGAAGGAAATTCGGGACACCCCCCCCCCCAGCGAAAGGCATGCCACCGATGCCTCCCAGCCCACCTGGCGCCGGCCCTCTCCCCGCCCGTAGCAGGAGGCGCCGTGCGCGCGTGTCGTCCTCCTCTCCGGCTGCTCGGTGTGCGCCGGTGGATGCTCGCGGGGAACAGCTGTTGCTGGGCGACTGCAAGGCTGCAGCGCCAGCGAGCAAGAAGGAACCTGCTCGCACCGTTTCGCCCATATCTCCTCGCTGCCGGGCGCCACCACCGCCTATTCTTCTTCCTCCTCCTCCTCCTCCTCCTTCCCACCATCCCCGACCCCTCCCGGGTCACGCCCTCTCTGCGCACCGGCGACGCGGGGCGGACAACTCCAAACCCCCGAGAATCATCACCAAAATAAGCTCGGGGGAGGGGAGGGTGGCCAGAGCATCCCGCTCCAATCACGCCATGAAGGGAGAGGCAGGCGGTAGGTTCCCAGCGGCGGTCGGGTTGCTTCTCTGTATGGTATGATGCTGCTTCTTTCCCCTCCCCCTTTTATCAATAATGCTACCGATAAGAATTATACCGTGTGGCGGCGGCGGCGGCGACGGCGGCGGCTCCTTTCCTGCTGACGGGCTTTGCAGTTCTTGGCGGGTGCGGGGAAAGCAGGAGAAGGCAAGGCTGGCGCAGCTGCACCGGAGGAGGAGGAGGAGGAGGAGGCCTCCTGGGCTTGTTTTCGGTCAGGGCTTCACCTGGGCGCGGGAAGGAGGCAGCTGCTCTCCACCTTCCGGTGAGGAGGGGGTGGCTGGGGAGGTGAGGAAGAGGCCTTTGTCGCCCTCAAAGGAAAAGGAGCCCAGAACTGACTGGAAACCTTTGCCCTTCAAAGGGGGTGGGAGAAAAGGCTTTCAAAGCCACATTGGAAGCATAGGAAAGGGTGTGGGGGAAGAAAGAGCCCAGGGACCCTTTTTTTTGCACAGGTGCCCTCCTCCCAAAAGATAGGCCTGGTCTGTTTCTGTAGGGAGATCCACAGGCTTTCCTGGGCCTTCTTGCCTCTCCAACAGTCTTCTAAGATGGCCTTCTCCCTTTGGCATCATTGGTGATGTCAGCCAAAGATCTGGGGGAAGCGGTTGACCGCTCTGGGGGGCAAGCATGTAAAACTACAAACCGTTGTTGGGCCCATGCGGTATTCTAACTCAATAAGAAGGTAGCTCCCCCCCCCCATACATGATATGAGGCACTCAACACATTGGGTCTCAGCCCCCAGCTCAATTATGTGACCATTAAAAAAAAAAATAAGTAGGTGTGCGCAAGTACGTGGTACCTCGGGTTACATACGCTTCAGGTTACATATGCTTCAGTTTACACACTCCACTAAGCCAGAAATAGTGTTTCAGGTTAAGAACTTTGCTTCAGGATAAGAACAGAAATCGGGCTCCAGCGGCGCGGCGGCTGCAGGAGGCCCCATTAGCTAAAGTGGTGCTTCAGGTTAAGAACAGTTTCAGGTTAAGAACGGACCTCCGGAACAAATTAAGTACTTAACCTGAGGTACCACTGTATATAATCTTTTGAGGGGAAATAAAATTGCAAAAAATAAAATGAAAGTTAGGTTTTCTAAATATTGGGGGGACAGGGTTAGTTAAAATAACATAGGTAAACAGGTTAAATACTGAGACGGTAACACAAGTCAAAGGTTAAAGGCTGATATGCCAAGTTAATACCTGAATAGGCTGTCCCCCATTTTTTAAAAAAGCTCTGTAGGTTATATCCCCAGATGCCACCCTTGTTAGGGAGCCCCAGAAGAGAGAGAGCCATAGGGACCTAAAGCTCTTGAACGAAGTGTCCCCAGTATCCGTTCTCCACCCCCAATTAAAAATTCCAAACTTCCTTGAGTTAAGCATGAGGAGAATCTGTGCCCTAAAAGCATTTTCATGCAAGGCTGAAATACCTGTGAGCTTCTTCCCTATTATTTTTACACGAAGTTCAATATTAACCCAGCGGGGGGGGGGGGGGTTGGGATCAGAAAAACCCAGTTCCAAATGTATATTCTAGTCAACATGTGGTGCGTTTGCATTTCAGACATGGTGTTAAGCCTTCTGTTTAAAAACACCCTGTAAGTACATATGTACAACTTCAAATTAATATTAATTTTATACCAGTTTTAGTGTCAGAGCTTTTTCCAAAAAACAAAAAAACACCTGGAAATTTGTGGTTTGGGGAGAATGCTGAGAGCAGAGATTCCTAGACCTTCCCGCAGAACTGAAGTTCCCATGGTTCGCTAGAGAAAGGGAATGGTTTTTACTCCTAGGGTTCCCCTAGCCTTGTCTGACACTCACGTAGGCCCTGTTCACATGCATATTCATCACTATGTTCTTATGCGTCAGCAGCAACTAGCCTTATGAGGAATTGTTCATGGAATTGGGTATCTTTAGCTTGGTAAAAAGGAGATTTGATAGCTATCTTCAAATATCAAAAGGGCTGACACATGGAGGATGGAGCAAGCTGGTTTCCTCCTGCTCCAGAGGCTAGGATCCGAACCAATGGATTCAAGTTAAAAGAACACCAGGAATAACTTTCTGACAGTAAGTGCTGCTTGACAGTGGAACAGACTCCCACAAGAGGTGGTGGACTCTCTCCTTCTTTGGAGTCTTTTAAGCAGAGGTTTGATGGCTATCTGTCATAGATGTTTTATTTGAGATTCCTGCATTGCAGGGGGTTGGACTAGAGTACCCTTGAGGTCCCTTCTGACTCTACAATGATACGATTCTATGATTCTAATCACTACACTGCAGTTAGCTTTACTGTGCTCTCTCTGTGGAGACCTGGTCCAAAGTGTTTACATACGCCCCCATCATCTGTGCTTTCACAATATAGTACTGCTTAGATCTGCTATACTATTTTTAGTGTTCATTGACTGAGTGGAGTGCATTTCAGCAGGGTGTCTAAATTATTATACATGGGTTTCTTTGTTTTTTTAAAAAAAGAATCGCAATACTATTATTATTATTATTATTATTATTATTATTATTATTATTATATTTATATGCCACTCATCTGATTGCTTTGCCCCAGGCACTCTGGGCGGCTTCCAGCAAAATAAACACAATAAAACTTTAAACATTAAAAACTTCCTTATATAGGACTGCCTCTTCCCTTTGCGCTTCAACCTTTATATGCTACATTCAAGCTATGCAGAGTCAGAAAACCAAGCCATGTAACTGTGTATGTGCTTATTTCAGGTTTTCTGGTAGAGAGAATTGAGTTACGTTGCCATATGGTCCTCCACTCCTCAGCAGTATTCTCGCTGGGTTAAAATGAGATTTGCACAAGGACCCAAAGGCAGCACATGCCCTTTTGGTATAATTAGCTTTTATTTGCTCATTACCTTATTGCTATCTTCAGAATTGTTCAGTTATAAAATATTCTTATTCAAAAAGCAACAACCATGGTTGCTGATTAGGGGTAGTTCTGGATATGTACCTACTATCTTCCTATCAATTTTATTTCCCCTTCCTTCCTTTCTCTCTTGCCCCCCACTCCCCAGTTTGTTTTTTAAGCTGCCATGGGAACTGACTGCCAGCAGCAAATTGTCACATCCTTTCCTGCAGAGTCAAAAATTGCAAAGCACAATTTTCACATGACGCAGAAACAATCTTAATAGGATCTTGGTAGAAGCAGAAGAATAGAATTGTAGAGTTGGAAGGGACCCTGAGGATCATCTAGTCAAGGCACGTCCAACAGGTAGATCACTGGATGTCTCTGGTAGATCACTGGTAGATCGCTGGCTTGCCTCAAAGAAGCTCAACAAGTTTGACCTGAACCCCTAAAAAATGGACTTTCCTCCTCCCCCCAAAAAGCTCGCCAACTTCGATCTGAACCGCAAGAAAACGGGGCTTTCCTCTC